CATACAATTTAATTCATAAACATTTATTCATTCATATTTATTACATTATAAATGCACTAAGTTGGAATCTTTATTTTGTTTCTTTAAAACGTAGTAATCTTTTTCTCAGTCTCTGTTCTGACATTTTTGTACTTTTGGCTTCAAACAGAATTATTGTATTCTTAATACATATAATCTTGTCCACACACACTCATTACAAAGCCTACCTCAAAAGAAGTACAACTACTTACTATACATACAACCGAAGAAGACAAGAAGAAGAACAACAACAACATGTTGTATTGAGTTGGTCTTCTTCTGTTACTAGAAGAGTTTGGTTGAGTGAGTCTGATGATGGGTATCATTTTACAACATGTTATTGCAACACATTCTGCAGTTTGTATGAACAAACATTACCCATCTACCTGCTGTCAACATTCAGAAAATTTATTTAACAATTTTACAATATTTGGCCTTTTATGTGTTTGTATGTGAGATGTTTTTTTAACGCAGAACCTGACAGACATACAATTTTGAAAAATAAAAGAACTTTTAAAACATAAGCCTATTCCAAAGCATAAAGTTCTTTTATTTACACTCTCTTAAGTTCCTTTAACCAAAAATTTTCTTCTTGGGCACGTTTATGCCTGTTAGGTGGTGGATCATTGTTGGTTCATTCATTCTTCGTGGCCCTTTTCTTGTTCTTTAACTTTTTTATAGTTTATTTACCTTAAAAATTGTACTTTCAAACACACGTTGTTGGATATTCTTCATTCCTTGCTTGCAAGTAAGGAAAAATATTCTTTCTTGGGATTTTCTTTAAAGTTTTTTTTTACTTGGATTTTCTTCTTTTTTTTTTGCCAGCTGAAGACTGTCTTTCTTGTCTGTTTTTCTTCGTATCTGTGGATTTTTTCTGGCTTTAATCCATGTTGTTGCAGCCACTAGTCACTAGATATTAGAATTTTTCGCACGACTTTCGTTTGCTATTGCCATTGTCAGGAGTTCGAGAGAAAAAAAGAAACATTGTCAGCCATGCTTACATGTTTATTATGCTGCTTACAGGGTAACAGAGTATTTGTCATACAATAAGTTAAGCTCTAAAGATTTGAAGTTATCGGGTTCCAAATTTCCAATAATTCTATCAGGCATAATTTCAAGAAGTTTGCTATTAAAAATCAGCAAAACCACAAAACATTAATAAGGTTTTGGCAAGTTGGACCAACAGGATAAAAGCCATTTAAAGTTTATAAAAGCTTTAACTATGGACTGTTTTAATGTCAATGATCTACTCTCACTCTGTTAATGGTTAACCAGAATTACAGCTATTTAAACATTTTTATGTAGAAAATGACAAGCGAAAAATTATGACGCTGTGTATAGAAATATAAAAAAAAACTAGGGGGGAGTAACAACTAAAATTTAAAAAATTATGTAATCTAAACTTTAAAGTTTAAAGGTTAAAATAATTGCAATAAATATTTTAGATAAAAAACATTACTTGTTCATTAGCAAAAATTATAGAAAATAAGGAGAACTACTTACTATAAGCATTACTTTAATTACAGCTAAATAGAGAAAATAAGCTTTTTTTGAGAAAAGTTGAGCTTTTAGCTATTAGATTACTGGCATTTTAGTAAGTAAGCAGTACTGCTTATTGTCTGTATTTCATTTCATTATCTCTGTTATATCCATTTGCATTCAAGATTTTAAAACTTTCATTCAGAATCTAAATATATTTTTGCAAGTGTTCAATTCATTAAAATTCTTCAGCAACACTTGACATATTTCATATCTATGAAATCGTGTCTGCAAATTATAATGACATTAGTCATAAATTTCAATTTTACTTAAGAAATAAAAATGAGATTATTTTGCTTTATAAACTAATAATCGTACTCGTTTTTTAAACACCTTTAGACACTTTCCATTAATTTATTTTGTTGGTGACTTTTAGTCACTAAAAAACAAATTATTTTTTTTAAATTGTTCGTAGAAGTGATTTTGTGAATTTTGTATGACGACACTTTGTATAATTTGTAGACATTTACGAGGTGTAGGGAACACAGTGAGGGTTGAAATAAAGGGTATTATCTAAAGATTAGACTATAGACTAGACTATAGACTAGACTATAGACTAGGCTATAGACTAGACTATAGACTAGACTATAGACTAGACTATAGACTAGACTAGACTATAGACTAGACTATAGACTAGACTATAGACTAGACTATAGACTAGACTATAGACTAGACTATAGACTAGACTATAGACTAGACTATAGACTAGACTATAGACTAGACTATAGACTAGACTATAGACTAGACTATAGACTAGACTATAGACTAGACTATAGACTAGACTATAGACTAGACTATAGACTAGACTATAGACTAGACTATAGACTAGACTATAGACTAGACTATAGACTAGACTATAGACTAGACTATAGACTAGACTATAGACTAGACTATAGACTAGACTATAGACTAGACTATAGACTAGACTATAGACTAGACTATAGACTAGACTATAGACTAGACTATAGACTAGACTATAGACTAGACTATAGACTAGACTATAGACTAGACTATAGACTAGACTATAGACTAGACTATAGACTAGACTATAGACTAGACTATAGACTAGACTATAGACTAGACTATAGACTAGACTATAGACTAGACTATAGACTAGACTATAGACTAGACTATAGACTAGACTATAGACTAGACTATAGACTAGACTATAGACTAGACTATAGACTAGACATTAGACTAGACTATAGACTAGACTATAGACTAGACTATAGACTAGACTATAGACTAGACTATAGACTAGACCTATAGACTAGACTATAGACTAGACTATAGACTAGACTATAGACTAGACTATAGACTAGACTATAGACTAGACTATAGACTAAGACTATAGACTAGACTATAGACTAGACTATAGACTAGACTATAGACTAGACTAAGACTAGACTATAGACTAGACTATAGACTAGACTATAGACTATACTATAGACTAGACTATAGACTAGACTATAGACTAGACTATAGACTAGACTATAGACTAGACTATAGACTAGACTATAGACTAGACTATAGACTAGACTATAGACTAGACTATAGACTAGACTATAGACTAGACTATAGACTAGACTATAGACTAGACTATAGACTAGACATATAGACTAGACTATAGACTAGACTATAGACTAGACTATAGACTAGACTATAGACTAGACTATAGACTATAACTAGACTATAGACTAGACTATAGACTAGACTATAGACTAGACTATAGACTAGACTATAGACTAGACTGTAGACTAGACTATAGACTAGACTATAGACTAGACTATAGACTAGACTATAGACTAGACTATAGACTAGACTATAGACTAGACTATAGACTAGACTATAGACTAGACTATAGACTAGACTATAGACTAGACTATAGACTAGACTATAGACTAGACTATAGACTAGACTATAGACTAGACTATAGACTAGACTATAGACTAGACTATAGACTAGACTATAGACTAGACTATAGACTAGACTATAGACTAGACTATAGACTAGACTATAGACTAGACTATAGACTAGACTATAGACTAGACTATAGACTAGACTATAGACTAGACTATAGACTAGACTATAGACTAGACTATAGACTAGACTATAGACTAGACTATAGACTAGACTATAGACTAGACTATAGACTAGACTATAGACTAGACTATAGACTAGACTATAGACTAGACTATAGACTACTATAGACTAGACTATAGACTAGACTATAGACTAGACTATAGACTAGACTATAGACTAGACTATAGACTAGACTATAGACTAGACTATAGACTAGACTATAGACTAGACTATAGACTAGACTATAGACTAGACTATAGACTAGACTATAGACTAGACTATAGACTAGACTATAGACTAGACTATAGACTAGACTATAGACTAGACTATAGACTAGACTATAGACTAGACTATAGACTAGACTATAGACTAGACTATAGACTAGACTATAGACTAGACTATAGACTAGACTATAGACTAGACTATAGACTAGACTATAGACTAGACTATAGACTAGACTATAGACTAGACTATAGACTATATTGTCAATAAAACGAGATTTTTTGAGCTTTAAAATGCTTTTGGAAAAAGTCCTTAATGGTGGTTCGGGTAAAATAGGGACTGGACTGTTCTTCACTTGAACTGCTATTATTTTCCCCACCACTGTATTTAATTTAGATGGCGTTATAGTGTTAATTTTTTTGTCGCTGTTTAATATGTTTTTTCCGTGATGTTGCAGGTGACGACAGACAGAAAAAACCACGTCCGTCCGTTTCTTGGTCGTACACAAACAAACAAACAACATGAGCACACACCATCACTTGACAAGATATTGCAGTTTTAGTTTGGTTTTTTACGAACCGTTTTTTTCTATATTTATTTATTTTTAAGCAGTTTAATGACCGACAATCGTGACTGTTTGATACCTATTTCGTTTTTGCGAGTAGTTTATAAATATACCTTCTTTGTAAGACGTTTTTTATACTTTATTTTTTTTGTCACACTATCCACCCGACCGACATCAATATTGATGTCAAGCACTTGTGTCGTTTCGTTTCATTTTACTGCAACTATGAGCCGCCCTGCCTAAACACAAAAATATTGTTGTAGGTCGGTAGTCTAGAAAAAAAGGTCGCGCATTAATTTTTGTTACAAAAATTTTAATTGTAGTGCTTTTACGTTTTATTGTTGTTATTTAAATGATTTTTTTAAGAGGTTTTTTTTAACTTTGAAATGCAAATTTTATAAGATGTTATTGTTGAGACAGTTGGACATGGATGTTGGGGAAGGAAGGAGTATAAGTAAATAGTTATGTAGTTAGTGAAATTGGTTTTTGGAAATATTAGAATAATTTAATTGATTTAATGTAATGTTTGTTATATTTTTAATTAATTTTATTAATATTTTGTTTCTATTTTCAGCACCCGATTGTAACGGTAAGTTTATCATGTAAAACTTAAACATCAAAATTCTGTAAATTGATTTCCACAACTCTGAAGAGATAAAGGATCAGAGTTGATATCATGGCAGGATTGCTCCATAAAGGGTTAATATGTATAGTGGATGTTTATTTGAAAATCTTTAATGAAATATTCTAGAAAATAAGTAATAAACAAGATAAATTTCGTCATGTGCAATTTCATGCTATTTATGAACTTTTCTTATTCTAAATGAAATGGTTTGGGAGAAAATAATTGTTAGATTCATACTATTTATTACAAAATTTATTCCATTTATGATATATTTTAAGTAAAAGTACCAGATAAATTTTCTCATGTTCAATAACATACTATTTATGAACATTTCTTATTTTGAATGAAAATGGTTTTGGGAAAAAATCATTCCACTTATGAATTATTATGAACTTTTCTTATTCTGAATGAAATTGGTTTGGCGAAAAAAGTTTTATTCGATTCATACTATTTATTACAAAATTGGTTCAACTTATGAATTATTTTAAGTAAAAAACTAAATAAATTTCCTAATGTTCAATTTCATGCTATTTATGAACATTTCTTTTGCTGAATGAAATTGGTTTGGCAAAAAAGGTCATATTCAATTCATGCTAATTATTACAAAATTAATGTCACTTGTGAATTATTGCGTCATTTTCAATTTCATGCTATTTATGAACTTTTCTTATTTTGAATGAAAATGGTTTCAGGAAAAAGAATTCATATATTCATATTATTTATTACATAAATCATTACACTTATGAATTGTTATGAACATTTCTTATTCTGAATGAATTTGGTTGGGCGAAAAAAGTCATATTCGATTCATACTATTTATTACAAAATTCATTCCTTTTATGAATTACTTTTTTCTCTGAAATTTGCCTTTAAACACTAAGTATAACTTTTATTCTTAAATCTTCTTAATAATATTAGTTTAGATTATAATATTTCAAATTATCAAATATCGATTCTTTAAATGACTTAACCCTTTTTAAAGTGGTTTTATATCGACCCAATTGCAACTGGAATTTCAGGACATTGATATTAATCATTTGCTCGATGTTTTGAAAATTTCTTTTAATACAGAAACAATAAAATATAACAAATCTTAAGATATTTTCCATTATATTTAAAAGCAAACTTACAACTTCTGGTAAATAATTTCAACTTATATCCCAGCAAAAACTAACATTGAAAAGTGAAAAGGGTTTCAAATGCTAAAATTTACTTACGCAATAGCACTTAAAGACATTATTTTAATACGTTGATGACAATGCAGGCAAGCACTTACCGTGCTAGCTTACAAGTAGGGAGTTAGATAAGTACTTACTACGGGGAGTTAAGTTACAAGTTTTGTTTTTGCGTCTTCTATTAGTCTACTATTTGTTTTCACAATTTTTTTTGTAAAATGCAACATTTGAAAACAAAATTTCAAGCCAAAAAAGTAAGTACTTACGTATATAGTTCTTTGTAAGTTATTACTAAACTCCTTCTAAGTAATGCAGGCGGTATGTAGTAGTCATTGATAAGTAAGTTCTTGAGTAAGTACAAGTCATTACCATGTTGTTGCTGGGATAGTAAGAAAATTATTAAGAAGACGAAGAATATTATTGCAAGCATTCAGTCAACCAACTAACCAACCCTAGTAGCACTTGCTTCCAATCTTTGTCTTCGCATCTTTGGTGGCTGGTGTTTGCATTTCACACCCATATGAGACCAGCCAACCAGACATTTGTTAAGGACACTTAGCTATATAATACAAAAACAATGCGAGATTTTTTCTTCTCTCTTAACAATGATGACTATGATGATGTCAATTTAAGAGTTTGTCGTAAAAGATACAATGTATTTTTTTTTTCTTAGTTTTGTTTTATTTAAATTTTTTATTTATTTTTTTTATGGTTGAGTGAATAATGATGCATATAGAAATGATGATGACATGCCAAGCATCCATATAAAGTGGATAGATGTATGGGAATGTATGATTTTTCCCCATTAGGTTTGCAAATATGCAAAAATGTTTGTAAGTTTGGTGAGATATAAATAGTATTCTTCTCACGAGCGAGAGTGTAGGGTTTTATTGGAGAGGCTTATATCGTTTTAAATGATCTCCGGCTATCGGAAAATATTCATAAGTGGAATGAATTTTGTAGTAAATAGTATGAAACGAATATAACTTTTCTCTCAATTTCTTTCAAAATAAGAAAAGTTCTCAATAATTATTGGAATATTATTTTGAAAAAAAAAAAATGAATACAAATGATTGAAATTTCGAAAATTTATTTCGGAAATAGAAAATGGAACCAGAAATAGCTAAATTCTTAAATTGAATCATCTTTAAGATGGTTTTCTTACTTCACCCAATTCCCTCTTCATTATGATTAAAATTTGTAAAGTAATTTCACTGGAAATGGGAAAACATCGCAAAACGTTTTGCTCATCAACAAAAATGTTTTGCTCGTTAAACGTTAAGCATTCGTACATATTTTATCACAATTCTCGTCCTGTTCTCCAACATTAAGCTTAAAGTCATAAAATACTTAGTAAATTATGATAAACATTTTTATGAGAAAAAAATATGTTCGAGCCTAATTTAACATCCTTAGGAGGTAATACAAGTTGCATTGGACCATTTGTATAAGAAAAGATATTGGTATTTCAAAACAATCTGTTTGGTATTTATAATGATGCTCGAAATACCAGAGACTGAGAGTTATTTGAGTTTGAGAGTGTTTGGTTTTCAGAAGCCAACTTAAAAAATTCGTATCATTACATTTCACATCTCATCTTAAATCTATTTTGTAGTCAACATCATTATCATCGGCAGCAGCAGCAGCAGCGTCAATCGTTAGTTAGATGTTGTGCTCTAAGGTGGGGCATTAATGTACAACTTAATGGACCTCATAAAATGTCTAAAGGGAAAACTATGAACACGAACGACCATGTACAAAGAGAAGAGAGTGAAGGAATGAAAGATGACGGATTATGCCAATGAACTTGACATTAATAGGGCTTCTTTAGTTTTTTTTCCTACTGATTTCATTTTTTATTACTTATATTCATTTTGTTTCTATTTTCTTTTCTATTTTTATTGCTGTTAAAGTTCTTAAGTGACTTTTTTTATATGAATATTTTATTGTAGATTTACGTTTGACTATTTTAAGTGGCGGCCAATAAGTGGCAAAGTTTTTTCTTTTATTTCACTTTTAATGCAAATATAAATATTAAGATTTGAGTAATAAAAAATGGCTGAATTTCATTTGAATCAAAATTTTTAAATAATAAAACAAAAGCTTTTAAAAAGTACTTTAAGCTCCCATAGAAACTATTGCGTAACGCACAGTTCAGTTGTAGTTTAGTTCTAGTTCAATTCTAGTTCAGTTCTAGTTCAGTTCTAGTTCAGTTTTAGTTCAGTTCTAGTTCAGTTTAGTTTTTCAGTTCTAGTTCAGTTCTAGTTCAGTTCTAGTTCAGTTCTAGCTAGTTCAGTTCTAGTTCAGTTCTAGTTCAGTTCTAGTTCAGTTCTAGTTCAGTTCTAGTTCAGTTCTAGTTCAGTTCTAGTTCAGTTCTAGTTCAGTTCTAGTTCAGTTCTAGTTCAGTTCTAGTTCAGTTCTAGTTCAGTTCTAGTTCAGTTCTAGTTCAGTTCTAGTCAGTTCTAGTTCAGTTCTAGTTCAGTTCTAGTTCAGTTCTAGTTCAGTTCTAGTTCAGTTCTAGTTCAGTTTCTAGTTCAGTTCTAGTTCAGTTCTAGTTCAGTTCTAGTTCAGTTCTAGTTCAGTTCTAGTTCAGTTCTAGTTCAGTTCTAGTTCAGTTCTAGTTCAGTTCTAGTTCAGTTCTAGTTCAGTTCTAGTTCAGTTCTAGTTCAGTTCTAGTTCAGTTCTAGTTCAGTTCTAGTTCAGTTCTAGTTCAGTTCTAGTTCAGTTCTAGTTCAGTTCTAGTTCAGTTCTAGTTCAGTTCTAGTTCAGTTCTAGTTCAGTTCTAGTTCAGTTCTAGTTCAGTTCTAGTTCAGTTCTAGTTCAGTTCTAGTTCAGTTCTAGTTCAGTTCTAGTTCAGAGTTCTAGTTCAGTTCTAGTTCAGTTTAGTTCAGTTCTAGTTCAGTTCTAGTTCAGTTCTAGTTCAGTTCTAGTTCAGTTCTAGTTCAGTTCTAGTTCAGTTCTAGTTCAGTTCTAGTTCAGTTCTAGTTCAGTTCTAGTTCAGTTCTAGTTTAGTTCTAGTTCAGTTCTAGTTCAGTTCTAGTTCAGTTCTAGTTCAGTTCTAGTTCAGTTCTAGTTCAGTTCTAGTTCAGTTCTAGTTCAGTTCTAGTTCAGTTCTAGTTCAGTTCTAGTTCAGTTCTAGTTCAGTTCTAGTTCAGTTCTAGTTCAGTTCTAGTTCAGTTCTAGTTCAGTTCTAGTTCAGTTCTAGTTCAGTTCTAGTTCAGTTCTAGTTCAGTTCTAGTTCAGTTCTAGTTCAGTTCTAGTTCAGTTGAGTTCAGTTCTAGTTCAGTTCTAGTTCAGTTCTAGTTCAGTTCTAGTTCAGTTCTAGTTCAGTTCTAGTTCAGTTCTAGTTCAGTTCTAGTTCAGTTCTAGTTCAGTTCTAGTTCAGTTCTAGTTCAGTTCTAGTTCAGTTCTAGTTCAGTTCTAGTTCAGTTCTAGTTCAGTTCTAGTTCAGTTCTAGTTCAGTTCTAGTTCAGTTCTAGTTCAGTTCTAGTTCAGTTCTAGTTCAGTTCTAGTTCAGTTCTAGTTCAGTTCTAGTTCAGTTCTAGTTCAGTCTGGTTCAGTTCTAGTTCAGTTCTAGTTCAGTCTAGTCAGTTCTAGTTCAGTTCTAGTTCAGTTCTAGTTCAGTTCTAGTTCAGTTCTAGTTCAGTTCTAGTTCAGTTCTAGTTCAGTTCTAGTTCAGTTCTAGTTCAGTTCTAGTTCAGTTTATTCAATTCTAGTTCAGTTCTAGTTCAGTTTCTAGTTCAGTTCTAGTTCAGTTCTAGTTCAGTTCTAGTTCAGTTCTAGTTCAGT